GGTTTGAAGTATGGTGTAGACTATTCGGAGCCGAAGAATCGAAGAACGTTACGGTATGGCGGAATAATCATACTTACTGATCAGGTCAGTTCTAGGATCTGCGTAAGCGATTTTTCAAAGACTGAATCGCGGATTCCAAGTTAATTCTTATGAAAGCTACTGTTCAAGGACGAGGATGGATCTCATATCAAGGGTTTGATTATCAATTTCCTTCACACATTTTGGCCACAACTGCTTCGTAACGGATTTGTGCAGTCATTTATGACTCCTCTATTGAAAGTAAGTAATTTTCTCTTCAAAAGCTTCCACACCATATCTCGAAGATAGTTGGGGTGTGGTTTCGTACTTCCCTCAAACATGTCCTTTTGTGGGATATTTCCGTTTGCGACGGACATTGTTTCTTGGGCTGGACGCAAGCGTCATTATAGTTGTCTCAAAACGGAGATATGGCACCAAAAGCAAAATCGCCGTCACGGTTCGAATGTGGTGCTCACCCACGCCCCCCCTATCTCCGGAAGACCGGAAAATAGTGTATGTATGTTTCAGGCTGATCTCATGGGCAGCAAGAGATTTACCACCGTGGATTTCTTACCAACGACTCTTTCCACCATAAAGAAAGCAGGGTTCATCAATAGTGGGTATAAAATTCTGGGTCTGACTCCGCCCATGCGATGGGCGTGGACTGTGTTTTCGAACCATGTAGTGTTAGAATCGTCTCGTAATGACCTAGTACATACGGGGTTACTTTCGTATTTCACTGCCGCGATTGTCGGTAAGTATTGTCGATCGATAAGGCAGCGTACAGACTTCGCGATGAAGCGCGTCCGCGCGCTATAACGTGCTTTGCATCGACGCGCTGCCACAGCAACCGCGCTCCAGTGCTGTAGACCTGAGTGCAGCCATAGAAAAGTATTGATCGGCGCCGGCCGCTACTGCTTTGGGAGGGTATGGGAGAATAGGAGGGTACGCGTTGCCTCACCACACAGAAAGTACAAAGGTGAAGTTGCCTAATCACACAATCTGGTACCCCATCTCTGCTATGCACTACACAAACACCAGTGGCGAGCGTCGATTGGTACATGTCCATGGCGTTCCGGACTATAGCACTGAGGTACCTTCGAACGCTGCCCTACTCTAATTCAGCGGTGAGGTTGCGGAGCCGTATCAGAATCAAATCGGTTTGGCGGAAGGCTGGTAATAACTTGAGCCAAAACCTAAGTACGCTCTTAGAACCAGCTCGCGGGCAGGGCTTTATATTGCCTAGGAGGAGGGGAGTTGCAGTCATGGGAATACATGTAGTATTAAGGGGACGGAGTCCCCCCCCCGCCTCCGCACCATTTATCCTCCTGATACATCCCACCATTCCCTGCGCTCTCTATTAGGTTTCTATGCGGCGGCGAGGAGGGAGGAGTGAGTGGATGCCTGCAGAATTAAGGGGAGAATCCATCCATGCGAGAATGTTCCCCGATCGCAATGATGTGTATGGTCACAATAATGATTGCATTCTAGTAAAAGGAATGCAGCTTTCACAAAAGCGATGAAATGAAAGGGTCTGCGTGTGTCACAGATGTCTTTTATATAACCCGCGTGCTCATGACTGCACTGAATTCCGAGGCTCGTCGTGATCCCCTGGCGCTTACCCAGGTTCTATTCTTCGACTGGGAACAGAGGATTCAACCGGATGGAACGATCAAAGCAGCTCAACAGATGCCTGAAAAGTTCACCGTCGAACATACTCACCCAAAGGTCTACCGTACGGTTCCCTTAGTTCCGTCAGATTTACTATTTTACCAGAACGCTACAGCGCCCAATACAATTCTATTTCTCACACCAGAAGCCAAGGATCTCACCGCCCAAACGAGCGCGGGGAGAGCGTAATTGGATCGCTGCGAGAAGACAGGAGAACACATCAGATACATTCACAGTCCAACGAAACACAACCAATTCACGAGATAAGCATCATGAGTTTTTATTCAATATCACGACCCCATAAAGAGGGAAGCTTTTATGTTAGTTGTTTGGAGAGAAACTGGCAGACGTAACTTCTATGCACGTTCTCATCCTTAATTAAGACAGCTTCCTGTACGAAGAGTCGACATGACTCTTCGTAGGTTTTTCCACATATTTCATGAGTCCTTAATTCCTCTGACCCGCCCAACCGACAAGTTCGAGTGAGCAGGTAGATGGGAGGGATCGGTCGTAGCCATAATACGGAGCGCTTCAGCACTGGAAAACGCGGGGGGCGGGGTCAGTACAGGACTCGACGGAAAATCCCCCAAATTAATGAAGGTGCGCCTGTTTCCCACCTGCGTCAAACAATTCTGCTCACTTGAGGCGCGAGGTCAATCATATAGAGACTTATACCTTCCACGGCTCTAGCGATTCATGCTTGCGCAGATAAATGACTGTTGGCCTCGCCAAGTCTGGAGGGATGTGATGGCTACCTAACAGTCATCGGGAAGGGTAGTAATATTACATTTTTTCTGGCCGTGCTAAATTTGCCTTTGCACTTTGGCTCTAAATCAGTGTTAATGTACCTCTTTTGCGGTCCCACGGGCAAGTAACTTACCTGCCATTAGTTTCTGAGGTTCTCCATTACGGGCTTCACGCATTCGCTCGCCTATCTCGTCAGTTCCCGTACATTTCGAAAGGCAGCGTCTCGTAACCGAAATCGAACCTAATGTCACGCACCTATCCGTTATAGGTACCTCAACGTCGAAAGAAGCACGTGAGTACTTCTCAAACTTTGAAAAGCATTTGGTACAGTTTCGACACGAGGATGACAATGATGATTTACGGATTCGACTTGTGTTTGACAAACGCCGATCGGACGATAGAAAGCGGTGGATCAGCGAGCGGCTTGCAGCAGCCAACCAGGTATTATTTACTGTCAAATGCCGGTTATGTTGGTTTTTGGTGACAAGTGGACCACGCGTGCATACAGTCTCGTTCGCTTCGGATGATGGGATGTGAATGAGGCTGTGTTTAGCCTCCGCCAGTCCGTTCTCCACCAGTCGTTAAAGCGGTTAAGCGGCAACATCTGGTGGAAAACTACTGATAGGAACAATATTATACGGTCTTGTCGCTTGCCGAAAGAGCAAAAGAAAAAACCGGCTGGCGCTGCACTAAGCCCATCCCTCCTTGACACGCCCCATCATCCGCAACGAACAGGACTGTGGTTCCGTGAAAGTTCCTCTCCGCTACGATCAGTAACGTGAACTGCTCGTGCGCGAAGCCGCGGCGCCGCAGGTAGATCTCCTGACCGGCGCGCTCTGCCCTGTACTTATCGACTGGGCATCTCGAGTAGTAACTAATTCAATTATAACTGGGTGATAAAGGTACCCATTCAACCATGGCGATCGAATTTCTAGCAATGAGGAACTGCTTTTTTGAACAGGCATTCCGTGACAGTACAGTAGTTGGGGCTTCATGATCCCCTTCCCTTTCTCGTTGGCGCGCCATTCGTCTTTTTTGTATCGAAAAAGGGGGACTGGGTGGAGGCGTTGAGTCTCCACCCACTATCCGCCCATCTGACTATCGCGGAATGTATTTTGAGGATATTTCCAGGAAAGTACTGCTGACGCTCCCTCTTCGAATGACACCACCTACAAGGAGTTCGTCGATAATGAACTCTTCCGCTATTCCCTTTTGGATTTAAGGGTAAGAGCAGAGTTGATTTAGTGATATGGTTGTCAACGCCATTTATTATTGATTGATTATAATCGATGATACAATCGATTCAGCGCTCGATACCTTCTGTTGTGGACGGATTAAAACCTTCTCAACGCAAAGTGATCCACACCTTATTGCGACGGGCTTCGAATAAAGAGATCAAAGTGAATCAACTAGCAGCTGCTGTTGCCCTCAACGAAGCCTATCATCATGGGGAGGTATGATTTTTTTAGGACAAATATTCCATTGGGGTCGGTTGGAAGATTCGCTCGCAGTGACGCGTAGCTCTAAAGTAGCTACTAAGCCTTGGCTAGATTTTGACATACGGTGGCATTCCCATGTTAGATCAGTTAGGTCCTGCTGCGAATGCCGGCACATGATATGTCGTGGTGCTGGTGGTGGGATTGGCACGCCCGTTATAGCGCCGCTTTCACTACCTCGCTGCAGCATGAATCTCCCAACCGACACCTATGTTCCACAAATCGAAATTCAGACAATTCTGACAGGGAAA